TCATTTCATTGTTTACTGAAAGCAAAGCCTTATTTCAAAGCACTTATGCTTTACTCAATTCGTTCAACGCTTTCCACACCACACCTGTCGACGCCATGAATGGCAGCACTCATTGCGCCCTCACTTTGGCGCACACTTTCAACACTGCTTTCACCTCCACTTCCCTTACAATTGTACTAATGATGCCTTTAATGCTGTCCTCACGTGTGCTTTCATTCATGTATTACATGTGTTTGTGTTTAGGAGTGAAAACTATTAGAGTATTACACTTTCGGCCATTCAATCGACAAAATGAGTTCAATTAAGAGCTAATATATAATGAAATGAGTTGTTCAATGGATTAATGATTAGTATTAATGTAATTGTATTAATAATATGCGCTAATATGTGGACACAATTTAGTGGACACTCGAAAGGGTGTTTGAATTGTGACCGAAACCCATATGTAATGAATTGCATTGAAAGGCATTGATTGTGTTGTTCACGAAACCACGTGTTTGTCTCACAACCGGCTCTCAATTCCCATTCATAACTTCAGTTCACGTTTTTTGCCAATTAGTTGTCCCAATATATGAGTCATTTGTTGGAAACTTAATGCAAACCCAATGCGAAAGTGTGTGGAAGGGCTCACTTGAACCCACATTATATCGTAACGTTATTAGTGATTAAAATATAATATCAAATACAGTAAACATTTGATTTGAAAGTGAATTAAACAAATGATTTGTTGAATAAAAAACATTGCTTTGAATTGTGAGTCAAATTCAAACACAATATGAATCTAAATATATTGCTATTGAATAACATTTGCCGACAATTACTGCCATTGAATGAGTTTTCACTCAATATATTAGGTATTAATGAATGGATTACTAGTTATTGATTGCAATGTTTAACACGTGATTGTGTTTAGGGAAGCGCTTGATATGTAAGAGTCCGGGACAGTCACAGAGAGGCAAGAAGAGGCCCCCGAAGAACATCAAACTCATTGCTATTCCCGGACAGAGAGTCGATGAGAGAGACATATTAGGCAAACAGAAGTCACTCAAATATCACCCCGGTTTCAATGTACGCCAATCTTAACACAATTTACCATTCATTTCTTTGTTTTACTCGTTGTGTATTCACGTAATGATTGGTTTGAATTGTCATTTTAGGTGGCATTGGATCCGAAGAACAAGAACTTGTATGCATTGACTGCGGGGACAGTGTTTTACTCGATTGAAAAGTT